CACAATTGCTATCATGATCATAAACTGTGTTGGGCTGTAACGCAGCCAATTAGAAACATGTAAATAATGTTTAAATGCTACCTAAGACCGTGTTCACTGTCTGCTTTGTACCTATAATGGAGCAGGCCAGTAGACCCTTGATACCCATATAGTCCGTATTTAACCTATGATAAAAATGTGATAAAGTCATGTTTAGATACCAAATAGTTGACTGTCCAGGCTGCTAGCTGCAGTTCTGCAAAAATGTCTCCAAACCATCTTCTTGTATCTCTGGCAGATGACATCATATCTGTACAGTGTCTGTAAATACACCTTTTAGGATCTTCTGCATTTAAAAGTATTGGGTAGCTGTTGTTGCTTAAACTCACACAGAAAATCTGAAGCCTCTCATGCCTCATGCCTCTCATACGTGCCTCAGCTTCCCAGAACATCACCATCACACTACAGCTAAGGCTCTTCAAGGGATGGCTCACGGTCTAAAACCGTAAGACGTATAAGCCAGTGGCCTAATGAATGAATTGATAGGAGGTCTCTGTGGACACTTCTGAACCTTGTACCTGCTCCCTGCAGGTAGACTTTTGCTGACATGAGGAAGAAATTAGCAAGAATTGTAGACTAAGATCTGTGCTTTGTATTTCGGTTATTTAATTCCTCAGGACAGCTCAGAAAGGGAATTTTTGTTCTTGTTATGTTTTGATTTATTTTGTCAAAAATAAATCAAATAAAGGTTTTTTCATGTTTAATTATTTCACTGAAAGTAAGCAACTTCTGCAAAGTTTTGATTAACTTATTCAGCCTTTGTTTAATCCCTACCACAAATGAATGAATTAAGGAATATCTATTAAAATAAGTGATAGGTAACAACCAAGAGATAAATTACAGTGGCAAGGGATACTTGCTTAAAATAAGAGATAGATGATCATCCTAATTTCTCTTGTTCGTCATCCAAAAGTGATGAGCCTTTATGCTTGTCGTTCACCCAAGATTGATGTAGTTAGCCTTGAAAACCTGACCACTTAGTTCTGAATGCCTGCTTTTGCATTTCTGAGTGATGTATGTTATGAACCAAAGGAAACAATTGTGATGAGACTTCTAGGCATTGTTTTCAGTCTCTTTCAATTTCTATCCAATGGAAGAAAAGAGGGTATATTCACATTTCAGTGATGAGGGAACAATCACTATTATAATTTATTTATAAGGTAGTAATGTGTGCGTTAGTATAGTATGGACATAGTGAATATATTATGCACCTATGCAGTCAGGCTGTATGTAATCTACTAATTAAGTCTCTGATCCAAAGCTTACTTTTACTTGATGAGCGTGTTTATGTCCTGTTGAAGTCAATGGGTTATAAGCACTTTTTAAGCATAAGCATGTGCTTCACTGCTTTTGTAAGCAGGACTACAGGAGACAAATTCAGACTTGAAGATTTCTTTTGCCAGGCCTGCATTTTTGACTATCCAACTTGAAAACCCTATTGTCTGATTTTCAAAGGGACCGAGCAACTTCACGCCAAAAAAGAATCTTGCAGTCCTAAAGGGTGCCTTGTTTTACAGCTTTACAAGTATGACACACCCTTGCCACTGAGGCATAAAAAGAATTAATTGTGCAATGTTTGTAATAAACTTCGGGGTACAAATATAAAAGGAACGTCATAAGAATGACGACTATTTTTACTGATGACAACTTGGAACTGAAATTTTGTGCATCCTTTATCTGCAAACCAGAAGCAATTTACAAAAGAATAGAAAACATATTCAGAGAGTAGTCAATCTGCTTAATAAGGAAAATTTTAGGGATATATATGGCCAAGCTATGAGAAATAGTTGAGTGTTTCATCTATTAGCATTTATAAAGGATAGAAAGAAATTGTTTAGTAAAATGCAAGAAGGTACAACTAAGTGTAATAGAGTGAGGATGAGCAGAGGAAAGTTTAAGCTGGACTTCAGAACAAGTGTGCTAATGATATTCATTAAATTGTTGGAAGGTTTCCCAAGGAAAATATTGGAAGTCTTGTTACAGACTATACAGAAGAATGCTCTGTATGAAATGTGGCAAAGGGTTATTTAGGTAACATAATGTTTTTTTCTAGTCCTATTTGTAGTTTCTTGCATGGAGAAAATATTAGTAAAAACCTTCGATTTGTCTGAGTTATATCTGCATAACAATGATGATGCTAAGAAGAGAATAAGGCGGGTATTGCATGTAGTTTTTGAAACTAATCTATTCAGCTCAGCTCACAGTTTGGGGCACTCTGTTTATCAGCTGTCCCAATCTTTGAATGCATTGCTCCAGCAAAAAGGATCATCTGGCACTTGGAGCGTTTCAGCCACATTTCTAATGGTGAAAGTGATGGAGATGACTGGGCCCAAAACATGTTAATGTCATTAAATCAGGATGAAGGATTAGATCTAACCTTGAAAATGCAGGTCCTTAAAATATTGGCATTAATTAGGAATTTATGAATTCTTACATCAGTGAAATAACCTGGATACATAAAGGACAGTTATCAGCCTGATATATGTGCAGCCTTCTGCTCATCTTGAAGTTAGGGAGATCTGGTTTGCAACAACTCTGAGAATCAAAGATCAGAAGAAAACTAGGCCATGTTCAACTTCCATTCAAGGCAGTGACTGCACTTGGACCGGAACCATATATTTTTTTCTTTTACTTTTCTGGGAACGTGTCACTAGACAAGGCCTTAAATCCCTCTGGCATCAATTACAGAATTTAAATAAATAATTGGCAACTAACTCCATGTATACTAGACAAAATCTACCTCTTCCCCCAAGAGTACAATAAATAGGAGTATGATGTAATTCCCATTATATGCAGCTCTGCATACACTCATTTCCCTCTCCCAATTTTGAAGAGCAGAGGTAACATAGGCAGCACACACTAAGAAGAGCTTGTGCTAAAAGTTCTAGCAGGTCCCTAAGGGAGCTGGTAAAATACTAGCATCAATTGTACTATACATCATCTAGGAAAACACTTAACTAATCTTGGGAATCCTACTTTAAAAAGTTACAAGGTCCAAAGAATATGCATTTTTCAAATATATAAATATCACAAGTACATCAACATTATTCCAGTGACAACATCAAAATTTACTGACGGCTAAATGGACCCCAAATAATTTTGTTTCACTTGCTGTGGAAGTGCTTAGCAACTGTCAAGATGCTTCCTGGCCAGAACCTAATTCATCTTGTAAAGTGAATTAAAAAATGTATTAAAAAGCTAAAAGTATAATATAAAGTGAAGCTTGTGCTCAAATATATATATATCTTTAAAAAAAAAAGAACCCTGGTTTGGTTGATCTCTCAAGTTTCAACAACCCAAGTCATTTAGTTTAGTTCTACCTAAACCCTTGGGACAGAATCAAGAATGTAAATGGACTATTTTACAAATATGAATAAAGCGGTAAAATATAGAGCTCTTAAGTAATACAATAATTAGATATGCAGCTATATACAACATACAACTAAGAAATGATTAATAATACATTTTCATTTATGTAGAATCTTCTATAGAAATTTGTTCTAAAACTCTATGCAGCTGTAATAATTTTGTTAAAGCTTTGTGTAGCACAGTTGTATCATTAATTAGCATGTGAACTTCCACCTTCAGCAACAAGAAAAATGCCAGTTAGATTAGTAGCACGTGCCCGTGTGTGATATATGTGATGCCGTCAGAGAATTTGGCAAGCAATACTTAGGAAACTGCATAATGGATTAATATACTTTAGCCTAAGTCTTCAAATACTGTAAACTGACCTTCCCTGTACAGAGCTTGGAGGATGAGACACCGCAGAGATTGACAGCTGCCAGGGCTCCCAGCACGAAGACGCCTTCAGTCAGCACATTCATTACACAGCTGGCTGGAGTAAGCTAATGGGAAATACTGAAAAAGGACAGCATGTCTCACCGAGGTGGCGCAGAGGCACCCTCATTCCTCCCTGAGGATTACTTTCCCTGTCCTTTCTTTGGAAGGAGGGGACTCAACCTCCATTCATGGTTGTACCCATCTCAGTGGATAGCCTGACTGCTCTCCTCAGGCTTTGAGAGATCCGTGGTCTCTTCCCTTTGCCTTCCTAAGAAGATTGCCACAATCACCATATGAAAGGCCTTTGGTGTACTCTCTTCTCAGCTCCTTTTACCAAATCTGTACTGCTCTGTAAAAAAACAAATGCTTCAGAATTGACTGGGGTAAGGAAGGCATTTGTGCAGAATAACATCCTCAGTTCCAGTCGCCCATCTTCAGCCTTTCAAAGACAACTCTTGCTGTGTGTACGCAGCCGTTTGCGTTCTCTCTGTGGTCATCAGAGAAAGGCAGGCGTAAGAGTGGTGGAGTCTGTCCAAGAACCGGTACAAACAGTTCCCTGGGGCGTCTGGCACCTCCGTATAGGGAACTGAGGCAACGAGGGTAGACCAACATATACCCTGGCAGTTAGTTGAAATGCTTTCTGCAATCATCAACAGGGGCACTGAAATGGATTTTAGTTTCTATTCCTAGGATTACTGAAAGAAAATGCACCTCTTTTCTGGGCACTGACAGAAAGCACATATCCTTTTATTCACAGTAATAGCTAGTGTGACCTGGACATCATTCTCTGGCAAAAAGAACAGAACCTCACAGCTGAGCTACTAACTCATTCCCTCAGTAAAATCTTTAATTGTGACATATTAATTTCCTGAAATGCAACACTGCAGACATTTAAACAAATGTTTTTGCGTTTTGTTGCAGCACCTGGATGTGTGTATATAATGATCCGTTGCATGTGGTATTTGGTTATTTGCCATCTAATACCAAAACTATTGAAAGTGTCCCATTTTTGCACTCGTATGAGCACATAAGCTTTTCTCCACTAGTCTATGAGGTCTCCTTGCATTTTTGCACACATTCTAACATGGAGGAGAGATTTGATGCTATCTCCCCATTTTTCCTTTCCCCTTCTCTTTTCCTACTCACAGTGTGGTCAATAACCCACAGCAATATAAAGGAAATGAAGTAATTGAAGAAGAAGAATTTTCTACCTCTCATTCATTATGTTCATGTAGAGAGTATGCAACTGTAATACAGGAAGTTCAGGATGGCCAGTCCAAATTGTTCCAAAAATATAAGGCAACCCCAAACTTCATGAAATAGATGAAAAATAATAGACTTCTGTATTTGGTTATAAATACATACACACAGATTTCAAATTCAACCAAAACATATTTGTATACATACCTACATTTACTTTTTGGAAATAATTCTCTGTTTATATCTGTATACATATGAATATGTGTATTCAGGATTCCTTATATTTGTCTTTCAATTCTTGAATCTTTAGGTCACATTTACTGCTACTACACTATCTAAGACTTGTAGATCTAAAAATATGCTGTTGTGAACCATCAACAAAGTGTGGCGGCAGAACAATAGCTGCATAACGATGGAGGAAAGAGTCCTTTATGTGGAAGCAACTAGACTCCACAGATTTTCATGCTTTGGAGAGTTTAAGGTTTTTTTTTTTTTTTCCCTATGTACAAAAAAATCACAGACAGAAAAGTTAGAAAATAACCCCTAAACTCAAGAAATACCTACTTTATTACTATTATTTGTTCAGCTCTGTTTGGTACTATGTTAGAATGAAAAAATATTTCTTTTCCTGAGAGAAAACCCACTAATATTTGTGAAAAGCTTGGATATTGTAATGAGAGGGATCCTGTTAGTAGTTAGACAGATGTATCTGGAACATCTGGCAGTAGATTTCACAGCCCAGTCAGAGGTCTGGCCTTGATGACTCTGTTTAATTATCTCTTGGCTAAGGAAGTTGTATGTGTTCCCCCCCTTACCTCTCATAAACCTACTGAGATCCTGTCTGGGATAAATATTGGGTAAGTGAAAACTTAGCTTAGGGATTTGATGAGGTGAGTCAAATCTCAAGCTGCCATATTCATGAATACTCAGAGTTTTAGCACATTTTTACAGGCTTTGGCAGGAGGGCATCATTAATGTTTCAGAAGTTCTCCTGGTCTCTCCTTATTGCTTTTTGGCCAGCGTCCCTGTAGTTTTCCAGTGTAAGATTCTTTTATTACTGGGAGGAAGACAATACTTCTTGCTAGTAGGACACTCTTTCTTCTGTAACGAGTTGCAAAATAAAGCAGAAATTAACTGTGTAAGTAGCCTTAAACTTGGACATCAAAGTAGCACAACAATCAATCCTAGCAGTCGTTCAACTCTCTTGAGCATTATCTTTATCATATTTCTAAATGTTCTGCTTTGCTAATAGAGCATTTGTTACTATTAACTGTAGGTAGAATATTATACCTTAGCTAAATTTATCAAAGAGTAACATTTAGGTTCTGACACATGAGAGTCCTGTAGAAAGTAAATTTCCATGACTCACTTCTTCCCAATTTCTACTGGTTTGATAATTCTCTTACAATGTTATTTTTTACAATTGAGCAAATATCTCTCAAGGAACTCTCACCTAATTCTACTAAAGTATTTGATTCCACTGAGAAGCAGCCAAACTATAGAAAGATATTCTACAAAATATAGTTATATTAGATAGAATATATTTTTAAAATATAGTTATATCAGATAGAATATATTTTTTAACCAAAGGGGATGTAAATCTTGACACTTAAGGTATATACTTGATCTAAGCAGTGTTTTATATAAAGATTTTTCTAGAGTGGGCACATTTGTCTTCTGGTGTCCTTTCTGATTTCTTGCAGTTTCCTTTGAGCATCTGCTATTAGTTTCCAGTCATGCAAAATTTCAAGGGGAAAGTGTTATTTTTTGCTGAAAACTGAACATTAAAATCAATCATTACTTTTGGCACATTCATGAGAAATGATCTGATCCAATGCGATTGGGTTGATCTTTGTTCTAAAGGTACTGGCTTGATGCATTTTTTGTAATACAATGCTGATGGCACAAAAATAATAATCCTTGCCTAATTTTATTGTTTTCCCGTGCAGCATTTAAATACATTCATCTGAAAAATTAGAGAAAGTCCTTTTGTCAAATATATTGTCTTTTAAACAAATAGGCTCAAATTTCCATAGCTAAACAAGGGATAGTCTGCTTTTGGTTTAATGAAGCAAGATGCAACCACCGTATATCATAACACCGATTATTCCTGAAGCAGACTGCATTTCTTTAAAGGAAAATAATGTCATGTCTATTCCTAAATGAGGACATGACCATTCCCTTGTATCTGAGGGCTAAAATACAAAGTTGCAAAAAATTAGTGTTAGTATTACTAAGAGACTGATCTGATTAAATCTGAATTTTGTAGATGTTTGAGACCAGTCATGCTATCCTTACCATTTAGAGTCCTCTCCTGGTTTTCAGTGGGCCATTGGCAGAAGATTTACCCACAAGTAAACTTCATTGAGAATTCAAGAAGAAGTTGAAAGCTACCTTCTTGTCTGGTATAAACCAAAACTCAGTCATTTTACATCCATTTACACCTGACAGCATTTTTAAAAATGTGTAGTGTTTTCAGAAACTGGTGAATGTTTAATTCAGGAAATAAAACCAGGATTCTATTTATATAGATAAGATATCATTTTAACTCAAGATGGGCTGCTGTTTATGGTTTCATGCTGTACATACTGCACTGTATCAAAGGGCTTCTCCCTGTGCAGAGGATGCAGGCAGAACACTAGAAAAAATCAAGCCCTTAAACCTAATGCCTTTAGAGTGAAAGACTTGTAAATGATCTGCTAGATCAATGACCAGAGAAATGACATAATGGCTCTTTTACTATATGGATTCAGTGAAGGCACAGAAGAACATATACCATAGTAAATCAAGTCAGGAAATATTTAAATACTGTTTAGTTCATAGATCAATGATCTGGTAAACTGTAATGGAGTTTTTTGAGCCATTATGATCTAATGGAAAAATGCAAGTAAGTTCTGTTCATCTATTAGAAAGCAAGAACCATAGGGGAGCTGCAATAGTCTACTGTGTCAAAGCCTGTGTGGAGCATTTTTAATTAACTATTCATCTGCTCATTAGTCAGGATTAATGCAGAAGGATCTACTAAGATCTACTGTGTCAAAGAGTATGTCATGCCAGAAGTCTGCAAAGCCTGAAGATTTATTACCTAGTCACAGTACCACATTATAGACTGACAGAAAAATTGAATCCTTAAAAATAAAACTGGCTCTGAGTAATGCTCGTGCAAGAAAATATCTTAAATATTTTTAAAATTGCTATTTTTTTCCAGTGCTGTAATTAATCAAAGAGCATAATCTAACATTTTTCCCCAAATATCCTAACGCAACCATGTTTATCAGTTTCAGCAACATCATTTAAGAAATTCCAGTTATACCATCCTGAAATAATACTTCATCGTATTTTGTCCTCCTAACCCTGAAAAGAAGAATTCTAAAATTCATTTATTAAGGGAGTGGAATTTCTTGTATGAATTTCTTGATACAGACACTAGGAACTTGGTATGTTCAGCCTTAAGAAGAGAAGGTGAAGGGGAGACCTTACCACTGTCTTGAGCTGCTTAAGGGATGCGGGACAGTGTAGAGTGGATGGAGCCAGACTCTTCTTGGACACACTCAGTGGCACAAGAGGCAACACATACAAGCTGCAAGAAGGGAAACTGCAATTAGATATGAAGCTTTTTTTCTTGCCATGAGGGTGGTCAAATACTGCAACAAATTGCCTAGAGAGCTTGAGGAATCTCCATCCCTGTAGGTGTTCAACACTCAGCTGGACATGGCTTTGAGCGAACCTATCTAGCTGGACTTGCTTTGAGCAGGGGTTGGGCTATGTGACCTCTGGAGGCCTCTTCCAACCACCATTATTCCATGATTCCATGATTCTATAATAACAAATCCAGAAAATCTCTGCACTGAAGTTTTCAAATTTCATACTCATGTAAAAAATGCCTAAAATCTTAAACAGACAATATAAAAATGTGGAAGTTAAAAATGCCATTTCTCTTCCTACATCTTAAAAGCTCTCTTTTGCAACTGACATTTCATTTTTGAAAATATTTCTTCCCTCAACTGCTGCCAAGATCCTATTTCTGTTTACCTCAACACTTTGCATATGAAGAGAGGCTGTAGGAACTGCCCTTAATTTGTGCACACGTTAGGCAGTGAACCTGCTTCAGGATTACTTATTGTATGCTTAACCTGTACAATAATCTTCAAAGAAACAGGGATCAGTTGCCACATATGAATGTATAAGTACTTTTATAAGTGTACCTCCCCCCCATGCCTCTCCAGAGACCTTAGACCCATTCTACTTTGTTTTATGGTCTTTGATATGTTCTATAAAATGTACACATAATAATTTTCTTCAGAGGAAGCCTATTCATGTGTTCAATCGGATGATCTTTCAAGGAAAAGGTGTGCCATGGAAAAAAAGGTGCTAGTGTGCTCTCTGCAATAATCTATGATGTACCTAAATACAGACTCTCTGAGAAGAAATTGAATATTTCATTCCGTATTTTCATGTATTTGTATTTTGGGACAAATTTTGAGAAGAAATTTATTTAGAGTTCTCCAAAGAAGGTTTGCATTCTAAGTCAGTAAGTGCTGGATGCACATTAGTGTGGCAAAGAAGCATAGCTGAGATTTTATCATTTTTACCAAAGGTAGAAAATTCATTTATTTATTACAGTAAGTAGGAGGAGAGAGAGAGAATCCATATTCAAAGGTGGAATTTCACTGCCTACAGTGCATTTTCAGTCAATTAATGATCAGGAGTAATTAGAGAACTTGATCTAAAACTGCTGGAGTGTTTTGGCTGATCGCAATAGACTTTGGATCAAGTCATTCTTTACTAGACTCATAATCAGGAAACATTTATTTATTCACTGTTCTTGAAGAAGGAAGAATTCTGAAATAGTACGTGTAGGCAGCAAGGAGAGAAAGTCTCTTCATTTCAGTATAACACCTGTGCAGATTTAACAACCTTTACTGATGGAGCTGCAAACTTTGTATACACTGCTCAACTTTTTGCTGAATCATGGAAAAGAATACCTATTGCATTAAAGGTATGTCCTTACATATTTACAAATGTTCTGGCTATATTTGGAAGTGATAGCTAGGTAAATAGCACTGGAAAGCATGTGATGAATTAAAGATGTGATAAGTTATCTTGCACCTTTGAACATAATAAACCATATTCTACTTTTCTCACAGTGCTAAATGCTCTGGCTTGCCATATTAGGAAGTAGAAAGTGCTTCTGTTTCCTTTTTTCCCCCAAAGGACACACAGCTTTCTCTTTCAGATCTGACTTTATAATTCTTCTTAATTCTAACATTTTCTCACATTTAAATAAGAAACCCCAAATCTGATATCTGATACTAGTTCAAAGTGAAGCAATCAGCTAAGAATAACTGAAAATAATTACTCAAAGAGCAAGAAACAAAATCAATAACATTAAAAATCAGATTGAAATTTCTTCTGAAAAGAGCAACTGATCAAACCTTGCAATCAATATTTTGATTTTTTTTTGCTTACGCTGCAAAAGTTTTTATAAAGCTTATGCTATAAGCGTGATACACCTGCAGTCTCAGACTCACTGAGGATCTCTGAGTACACATTGGTTCACATTTCTGTAGTACCACTGAAATAAATAGTTTTTCAGGAGGACAGCTAATAGATTGTGATGTAAGAAGTTTGTCTAACGCTTCCTATTTCTGTTGTCCCCTGAAGTGTATGACAAAAAGGAGGTCTTCAGACTTTTCCAAGGTTCAGAGCGGGTGCAAAAGCCAAATCCAACAAGATGTTCCCAGTGAGATGAGGCACGCTTTTTTCCTGCTGTGATTAATATCTACTGAGGTGGGTGGGAGAAAGCTGTAATCAGCATTTCAGAGGACATGCGTGTGCTTTTTCAAAGGCATTAACTACGCTAATCAAGATTTCACAGGACAAAAAGGTCCTTTTTTTAGCTAAACCTGTAGCATCTGGTAATTCATGTTAACTGAAGTATAGTATAATTTAGCATAGATCAGGTGAACTATGGTTGTAAGATCTTTTTAGCAAACAAGAAAAGCTCTAGCAATTGTAATATGGCAATGTGGTTGTGATCCCATCTTTGATCTTTAACCTTGTTTTTTTCTCAGATTTGCTGCCTGACCTTTGGTAAGTTTGTTTGTCCCACTGAGCCTCTCTCCTCTACCTTTAAACAGGAATGCTAGTAGTTCATTTTTCCAATTTATCTGTTTCATTTTCTTTTAAATCATACTCAAGCTGCCAGGAACTGCCTTTTGCCATGTGTTTATGTGACACTTAGCTTGCCAGCGTGTCTAGGACTTTCTGAAATGTTAATAAGATACAACTTCAGAAGCCTGTGCTGCAGTGTAAGAGCAGTTGACAGTGTGGAGACTAGATGGACTTGGACACCAAAACACTGTAATGACAGATACATGCAATTTATGAATTGCACGACTATCCTGCCCTGTGAAGGAGATGATGTGGTCTAGGAGAAATGTCGGGGCAGTCAGCATAGGGATTGCAGCCCCTCAGTGCATGGTCCTGGGGCCGGGCTAGGGTTCCCTTGCATGGAGGGACCCATGTGGCATCACCCTGAGCAACCCTGGAGACCGTGGGGTGCAGGACTGGGTAGAGCATACCTGATTTTTCATTGGCTTGTTCAAATTCCCATGGCACCAAATAGCTGGCTATCACCACAGCAGGCGCTCACCATCTGCCCCTCTTAGCAGCTCTTGACGGGGTCGCAGCTTTTGCAGTGCCTGACAGGCTGTTTGCACCTACGGTGCAACCTTGCTGCTCCCCTATCCTGTAGGGCTTACTGGACTTCCTATGCCAACACTAGGTTCAAATAGGCTGGCCTTAGGCTAACTGCTACAGACTGCTTCAAGATTAGTTCCATGATCTCATGGCATACTTTATGTACACCAGTTACAGAATTTGACCATCTTACCTATATCCTGCAGGAGCAGAGGGTAAATCTGGCTGCCTGGTATGAGGGCCTGAGGCAAGGGCAGGGAGTATTGGCCTCCGAGGCAAAGCAAACACTCAACGTCAGAGCAAACAGAAGGAAATAGAAATTTTCATTTTCTCTGATAAAAGATTGTAAAGCACTTATACAGCCTGGAGCTCAGTGAACATGAGCCAATATTCCAAAAGACAGGCAGGATGTTTCATACATAAAACAGTCTCACTACTAAGGAAATAAGAGGCGAGAGAATATTTTTGAAAGGAGAGGAGAAATCTAGACGTTTATTCTATTCATCAAAGGGAAGGAAGAAGCAAATGAATCAGAAATCAAAGATTGAATATCATTGGTCTTGCTGACAAAGCAATCAGCAATCCTCTCACAGCAAGTACAGGGGTTTGTTGGACAAAGCAAAGGAATTTAAAAGTCTTGAACAAAATAGGGTCTTTCCATTTATAAAATTAGACATAATTTTAGAATAGCGTTTTAGGAGCTGTAAAGAATTTCTGTATTAAAAATATATATATCCCAATTTTGTGATGTACAATTAATAATGACTTTGTCAAAACCCTCTCCAGCCTCCTTTCTAATTCTCTTAAGAAAGCATTAAATGAGGACATTTTCACTTTAGTTGAAAATCAATGACACTTCAATGAAGCATGCATTTCCAAAATATTATGTAACTGAGAGGCATGCAGTTCTGCAGCTAAGTGAAGGGGCTAGGACTTCCTAAGTAACACTGCTGACTTAATAGCAGAAATCTTGCAAAAAAAAAAAATCACAATCAACAGCTTCAAAATTATAGTTGCCATTGTTACTGCCCTGAAAGTCTCAGGGTAAACCCCTGGGGTTCCTTAAGTGGTAACTTCAAACTGAATAATGCAGCGTTCAGTCAATATGGAGTAAAATAGAATGGTATTTAAACTGTCTTTTTCTGGGATGCTTTGTGAAAATATAAATTCTTTTTCTCCAGTTGTTTTGTATGAATAGGAAGAATCACAGCAAGAGAAATGCAGAGAAGAAGCAAGAAACTAGACTTTTATTTCTGACTATGCCATTAGTGACTGTAGAACTACTGACTGGCACTTCCATCTATCACTAACATCCTGTCCCTATTTCTGTTTAGTCTATACAAACTGGAACCTCTCTGCCTCTCCAGGGCATTTCCGTACAGTCCTTAAGGCTAGCCGAAATCACTTTCAAGTGAGTTGTTACAAATGATCAGTAAGGGTGTACCTGCAGTGGGCAAAAAGAGGTCTGGAAGGTGAAGAAAAGGTAATACAAGTATCTGAGTTAGCAGTTGAGGAATACCTCACTTCCACCATAGGGCAGGAAATGAACAAAAACAGAAACTGTGAAAATAGAAACCAGAAAATCGTGTCCCATAACACCACAAAGTTGCTACTCAAATCAGTTGCTAACCAGTCCTTCCCTCTTACAGCTCTTCCTTGCTGCTCACCAACTCTGTATTATCAAAACATAAAAACTAATGTGGGTCTTCTATTCTTTGAATTTTGACTGTAGCTGTGAAAAGAAGAAAAAGTAGTCAGCTGAGATTGCTTCCATGGAGTGGCAAATTATCTAGTGGATAAAGCCAAGCTTCAGTTAAAACATCTCATGTTGTCTTAGGTACCAGTTATATAATCCATTATCAACAAAACTTTTTTTTGTGTGTACATGTATTTGTGTGTGTATGTATGTAACCATAAGGAACTAAAATAAGGCCTGAAAAGGCCGAAAAGGAATTTCTAATGAGAAAGGATGTGCCTGCTTTTGGAGAAATTAACTGCTCCAGTGAATTGAAAAGATAAAGTAGAAGAAATTATGCAATAATTTGTCTGTTGTAATTAGAGATGGGCCTGAGCTCCTACGTTCTCAGTCAGATCCAAATGATGGGGGCATCTGGAGCTGGGGTTATAGTTTTGGCTCACAGACTTCCAGTTAGGCTAATGTGAAGAGCAGATAAAAGCTAAGGGGTCTGGTCCCCTGCCACAACATACAAACAACTGCCACAGACTTTAATAACAGTCACTCAAATCCTATGGCAGAAGATTAGAAGCCAATTACAGTAAGTTACTGCATCCTATTCAAGATATTTTCCCTTTGGTCATAACACTGAAAACTATCCTATGACATTGACACAGTGGTAATTAATTACTTGCCTACTGCAGTGGGAGAGTTGTGAGACTCACAGGTTTTCAAAACTAAATTTTAACACAGATGCCTGCAAAGCACCCATTTTTCAGTAAAATGAAGCTTTTGCTCCAAACCTTAAAACCTTAAAACTTTTGTTTACCTGTTGCTAATGGGGGGATGTATAGAGGAAGAGAGATAAGAGGTATTGTAACCACAGGCTGCCAGGACTCAAAGCTTTTGAGGAACCTTTCTAAACAGCCAGGCACAAATTTAGCAATCAAAGAACCAGACTTTAGGAAATTGCCGAAGACAAAGTAGAGCATGTAAGCATACCGATACCTTGCACAATGGAGACTGAATAGAAAGCTTTACTGGCTGTGCCTGTCATGGAGGTCCCAGTACAGAACATGCAGACCAACAGACATATGGGAACACACCACGCCTCCTCTTCTGGCTCACATGCTCCATTTCAGACGAAAGCAGCGCTCACAGAAATTTGCACCCAGGTTGAGGATGTAGCCAGGGGTAAACTACATTGTTGGCACAGCTGTGATTGAACTTGATCTTCTGTCTAACAGACTATAGAAGTTCATCAGTAGGTTCTGCTCAGTCACACCTGTGACTAGAGGAGACCAGATACAGCAGCCCAAATAACCTCCTCTTGGTGTTTGTCTTTAAAATTAAGGCAATAGGTGAAAGGTGCAAAAAACAAGAAGATTCTGCATACAGATAATTTCTTATGCAAGCAAAAAGTAGCAGCAGTAGAAATGATGGCTGAGATGAGTGCATGTGTGTTTGAGGAGGAGCCCAGGAAGCAGAAATCATCATCAGCATTTGGGCAGTGATTCAAAGGATGGGCTCAGGGAAACAGAGCCATTTGGATGAGAGGTTCCCCATTGCTCCAGCAGCAAAGAAAAAGTGATATTGAGAAAGATGCTGTGCAAGGGAGACAGTTATCAACAGGTGAGAAATTCCAGTCCAGCAGCGCCAACAAATTGATACTGACCTTCCACGAAAGCTGCTGCCATCATCAAAGCATCTGGTCTGTGCCGGTCCCACACAAACAACAGAAGGTATCGCTGATTCTGGTTACCACAAGTTCAGAAAGAGTGAATAAAGCACACTATAAACACGAACATATTCCTGCTAATTAAGTAAAAACCAAAACAAAAAACAAAACAATTATCAAGCAAATGAAGGAAGCTAAAATCAGCCCAAACCCTATAAAATCTGCAAAAAAAAGCAGCTGAAAACATGACTAAAGCAGACCTCAAAGCACAGCAGCCATCTGTGCCAGCTAGGATCTAGTAATAATGCAACTCCTAATAGCAACATGAATAATAAAAGTAAAACTCTCGTGAGCTGCTACAGTTTTTTGCAGCAACAATAACGAATTTTTCTCCGTGGTCTCTGATCTTTATGTATGGATCATTATAACTGTGCTTAAGGTTTACAGGGAGGCTCTTCCTTTTCAGAAGTAACTTAACTTAAGGGTATATTCGCATTCACTGGGATGCTATGGGAACACAACACTGTGCTCCAAGGATTTCCAGGAAGAATTCCTCTCCCAGCAGCTGTGCAGCCAAAACTCCCATTGTTGTGCCTTTTCTGTCAGGGATTCAGATCGCGGTTGTTTCTAAGCAGATATTAAGCTAAGAGACAACATGGGTATACATGGCTTCTCCACTCCTTCAAAGGAAGAACAGTTTTGCTTCCCTTTCTTTGCATTTCCAAATGCTTCAGATATCCTCTTGCTCTTCTTCACAGAAGTGAAAGTTCATGAAACAAGCAATTGCAATGGAAGCAGCAGGAAAGTTATTGCTTGACAGGGGAGTTTCAGTGGCTTCTGGACTTAACTAATAGTAGTTGGAGCAAGAGCAGCAAAATGGAAAGGCTGTCTCAGCTGCAGTCTTCTGAGAAGTTCTCATTTTCAAAAGGATGACAAAAATTGGGTGAGGATTCAGAAAGAGTACTACAGAAAATGCTTCCTAGTGTGACAAATACTAGATACTTAGAGAGAATTACAGTACTCATTTTATTCATCTTAGCAAAGAAAAAGCTAAGGGACAAGTTGATTAGCAATGCCTGAAGAAGATATCTGATACAGGAAAATCTTTTAAAAGCAGAGATAAAGGTACAAAAGGAACCAAATGTCAGGAGGGAGAAGTTGGTAGTAGTCAAGACATCTCTGTGCTGTGCATCTCTATGTTATGAAGCTCCTATAAATTTGTGAAAGCTGAGAGAGGAGATCCCATAGAAGAGCTGTGATGTTGGTAAAAGTTGCTGTAGAGATTTACACATGACCAAGTCCTACAGAGCCTAAATAGCACGTGTAAATACCCCAACTATGAACATAATTCAGTTAGAGCATTGTAAAACATGCATCATACTTATTCCAGGTCTTAATGAGATAAGCTAATCAGAAAGGTCTTTCCTATGATTTTCCTTTCCTCTCCATCCTTGGAAAGTGGTCTGTCATGGTACTGGTCTTTTATCTTCTCTATGAGAAGGAGGATGGATGACAGAAAACATCTGTTTCCAGGAAAGAAGAAATAGGGACATTCAGTAAGACTGCATACAGTGGAAGAGATGAAATAAAGTTTATAATAAAAGACATGACTATTCAGGAGAAAGGCATTTTGAAGTTTTCTTTTAGTAACAACATCCTCTGCTCTCTATGTATCAATGGGTAGAATCTCCATCAAACAAACCCTACGTTTGATATCTATGATGTTTTACCTTGTGTCTTTTGAGAATGTTTTGGGGTTTGTTTGGTGCGGCAGAGAGCTGCTCTTCTGCATGTAGTTTGTACCTATATTCCCCCATGAGAGAAGTACTGCTAATTTGAGGCAACAGCTTCCCAACAGAGATTGCCCAAGAATGAATTCCTTGTGCCCCCATTATGTCTGTTCCCAGCTGGAGTGTCTTTCAGCAGATATACTGAGCCTCCACAATTCTCTGCTAGGTGAATTTTCTGCCACCATGTTAAGCATTGTGCAATGTCCCCTGTGTAACATTGACTGAAATGTAGAAACAATCAAGTCATCCGAAAGGATATGGGGAGGTTTTAATTTCCTGAAATAGACCTGCTGTTCAGGCAGTATTGCCTTCTCTGTAATAGGAAGTTCAGGAATATCAATTTCTGAATTTGTCTATTCAAATTAGTCCATTATCATTAACGCCAGTTCCCTTGAAAAAGCATGAGTTAAGCCCCCCCAAAACCATGGGAGTTTAATGGTTTAGAAACACTGGGCCTTTTTCTTTGTCATCTGATTTTTTAAGCCATTTGGAGTCAGGTTTTCAAGTTCTTCTTCACAATGACAAGATTAGAAATTTTTTTTTTCTCTCTCTATGAGAAAAGATTGTTTTGTCACCATGTGAGTTCAGGAGCTGAACCAGTGTAAAACTGCAGGAGCTGACAACACTGATGGTTTTTTTTAGGTGCTTCTGTCGCCAGGAAACGCTGCATACCATCATGACCAAGATAATTGGACCTGTCCAAATGTCTGTGCAGAGATGCTTAAGGGCATGGTCATCATTTCATACAAAAATAGAGATGGAATGAACTTCATTTAATTCACCTCCTTGGTTAGAGATGAGATCAGCAAATCTGTGTTGTTCTTGTTTAGCCTATTCTTAAGATTTCCGATACTGGAAGTGCTCCGATACTGGAAGCATCTCCTCGGAGTCTCCGCTGTCTTAAATTTAAAAAACCATTCCTAAGTTGTAACTTGAATCTTCTATGTTGTAATTAGAGATCATCACTTCTCATCCTGTGAGCTAAGGACATGGAGAATTTACTGTTCCCTTCTGCTGTGCAACAGCCTCCTCAGGTCTCCTGACAGTTTTTCTCTTTCTTAAGCTAAATAACTGAGTCTTTCAATCTTATCTCTTAGACTGTGTTTTCTAGGCCTCTGCTTATTCTGGTTGCTCTGCTCTGGAAGTGTATCTCCAAGGGGTTCAATTCTTGCTGAAGTGCAGCACCTGAATCTGGATATATTATTGTAACTAAGCCTAACCAGGACTAAGTAGACAAGAAAGATTGTTCCACATATTTTGCACCTAAACTTCTGTTTATGTATCCTATTAAGGTATTAACTTTTTTTTGCATCATGCTGCTTGTGTTCAGGTTGTAGGCCGTTATGCCCTCCCAGATAATTTCTGATCAACTGCTCTGTTTCTTGTATTATGCAACTGCTCATTCCTATCTAAGTGTTAATACTTATTAAATAGCACTATACATTTCTTAGATTGTCTTCAATCTGTGAAGACCATTTTGTTTTCTAATTCTGTTCTTAACTATATGCACAGACTCTTCCAGCTTTGTGTCAGCTGTAAATTTAATAAGCATATTCTCTATTCCATTGTCTAAATAGTTAGTGATTGAATATAATGAGATCCAGAACAGGCTGTTGCAGAACCCCATCTGATACCTCTACTTTCTGAATAAAGTTCCCTAAGCAGTTTTCACCCATGGCATTATGGTTTCATCTAGACTGTGTCTCCTTAGCTTACTTAAGAGAGTATCAGGTGAAGTAACAACAAAAGCCTTTCTAAATCAAAACCTGCTGCTCCTATTTTTCCATACACACCAGGAGAAAGCATACTTTAAGATGAATGAACTAATCCCATTTTAAGAATGTAGGTCACTACCATATTCATCTTCAAAGTTTAATAAATATAATTACCTTCAGAAGATTCCTATGTATTTCCATAGAAAATGTCTTTGCTGCATCCCAAATACATGTGCCTAGCTATTACTGCTGCCACATGCTTCTCTGGCACCTATTTCTAAGCTAATCCTAGGAAACAATATCAACTATTTGAGTGTATCTGGGCTTTTTCCCTCTTTCTGGCTCTTACCAGAATCTCTGAAAGTAAGCTTTTGTACATTCACTTCAATATTTCAAACTCGTCTAAAAGACCTAAGGAAGTCTAAGCCTGGAACAGGTACAGTAGCACACGCTAGTCTGAATAGTCACAGATAAGCAACACGTTTCCAATAGCAAAGCAACAGCTAAACACCATCGCAGAAAATCCTGTCAAATAATTAGAAAAAAATATTATATTCAAGAGGCTCTTATTTTTTTACAGCACACTTCTGCTATGTAAAGTATTGTTCTTAAAAGTTTTGTTCAGATTTACTTGTAAAATTTTGCACAGAAGGTCTCACTTTTCTCAGGAGGTGATACAAATTGTTCCATGATTTCAGGTGCAGCCTCAGTACCCTGCAGGATCTAGGAGTCAGTAATATCATAAGGCTCCATGCAAGTATGAAGTCCTGGCTGGCCATTTTGTTTTAGCTTCAGGGATTCTGTTTATAACCCCTGGAATAATTTACTTGTGGATCTGATCAGGGGAATGATCTGTAGTCTATCACTTGGGCAAACTGTTCATTTTGTGGGAACCATATTGAAGCAGTGCAACAGAAAATTATGTTAAAGACATTCTGTAGTGAGGGCTTGTAATTTGTATACAAGTCTGGGGAAGAGCACTGAATCAAGAAAACTTAATTTTGACAGCCCTGATATATAGTCTATTTTGGTTAACCAAAAGGAACACATACATTTTCTACATTAGAGAAATTTCCATTATTTTTCTCTCAGCCATGAAAATCGATTTTGATGTGATTACACTCAGAAGCTGCTTGATGTGCTTCTGACAGTACAAAATGGATAGAAACGGTGGGTGGTGTTGAATTGAGGATACTGTGGTTAGCTGAACTCTGTCACAAACTGAAAATACTAAGATTAAAGCACACACCATTAAGGTATTGCACAGAAGAGTCAGTCTTAGGAAAAATGGTGATTACTATATTTTGATGTTGAAGATTGCAAATGATTCAGAGCTTTCATCATCTTCTGTTTACTATAAACACTGAAATTTGTAGAAGCAGAAGGAAGTCACCAAAACTCATCAGATAAAAGCAGCCCTTAATAGCAAACAATGGGGTAATGCCTATACCTAGGTGGACATATGTAAAAAGAGAAATCACGGTGTTTGGAAGTGCAGAATGCATTGAAGGTTATACTCTATTCACATCCATTACATCAGGCTAATGAACCCCTCCACAGACACAGCCTCACTTTCTGAGACCAGAATTTGACCCTATATTTCCATATTTCAGATAAGATGTCATTTATCAGGAAATGCTTGCTGTTAGCCTGCCATTTGGTAGACCTCTTCTGCCTGGAGAGTATTCATTGTTTCAAAAATGGCAACTCAGAACAAATATTAGGAAGAAATGAGAAATAGGTGAATGTTAGAAAATCTGAATTTTCAAATTATTTAGACATCCAGAAGTGTGGCTAATCTTCTGAAAATGTTTGGTTTTGGGGAGATGAGGACTTGCTAGCTGGCTATTTAAGCACAGTGGTTGCTAGCAACTCTGACCATGTTTGCCTCTAGCATGACTAAGGGTATATTGTTCTTCTATCAGCTCTTCTAACCTATGCATATTTTCTTATAGATAAGTTAAAATAGAAGAAATATATGTAATACATTTTAAACAAGGTTATAAAAAGCAAGTTTCTATTATAGCTGTCTAGGTGACTCCTACCTTCTGAAAAATGGTGTTAGTAAGTTTCTATTCTGTGTCTTTGGAACAGAGAATTTGGAAGAGGAAATTCATGACATTTCCTTGTCTTTTTGCTATGTCAAAAGTAGCATGATGACTGTCTTCCATTGCTCCTTCTGTCCCAGGTAACAACAGGTAGCAATAGGCCTGTTAGAAAGTGTATTTTTAATTATTTATCTCTTATTTTACAAGCCTCAAAAAAGTTCTATCTTGGTGTGGATTTTAAATGTAAGAGTGAGTTCGTGCTTAATTCATTTGTTCTCAATAGCATTCTAATGGAGTTAAATAAAGATGCAATCAATACAGTTATATACATAATAAATCAGGTCCTATGGAAATGCTATAAAATGTACACAATTAAATAGCAATTTATATCCACCTTAGTTTTTAACTACGTAGAAGAATTGAAAAGAGAATTATGGTCTAGATTGCGCAAAACTCCAAGCACGTGTCAAGCTTACAGTTCTCATTGACATTAAAGTCTAGCACTTCCATGAATGCTTTTCTGACTCCAGTTTCTAATCTCTCTGGAGCTTAGTTTTCTCCATACAAATAATAGTATACAGTCTGGACCTCAGAATAATACTGTGAAGATACACGTGTTCATTTTGCAGAGACATTCAGATATAATAGTTAGGCCATATATGCACATGCAAATATTCCTCCCTCTGTTAGTGGCAGACACCTTACTCCAAACTTCCCTCTGCAGCAAAACAATTTTATCTGACCTACCTTTCCTCACTTGCCTGCTCCAGTTCTTTATACTTATTTTTGAAATATTCAAGAAACATACACCTGAAACTACAGTCCCACTATATGTAGTTCTCATTGCCTTCAAAGGGAAACGATTAGTCCTTCTTATAACTCAGGGTAATGGGACTAGGTTGTACTCTTTCTTTAGTCACATATCTGGACAGTATCACTGGTGAAAATAAATGTGCTAATATTTTTCTATTAACATAAAACAACAAAAAGTCGTGTCCTGTTTTCTCTCCATAGCAAGCTCCAAAGCAAGTCCTTATTCTCACTTAATAGTTTTAATAATAGCAGGTATTATATCATCTAAAATGACTAGAAGACTTAAGAGAGCAAACGTCCCATCTGAAGGTGCTTAAGGGCCAAACATACTTAAAGTATTGAAATAATTGGCAATTCAGAGATTTTGAAAATTACACTATGAGGTGAGGTTCGTCTAACTTAAGTTCAGCTATGTAAAGGTTAGTCATCTGGTCTGAGATGGTCGTCTACACGACTTCAGTGTTAATAAAGAGAAATAAATATCTCCAGAGGCTGACACAACCCACCTACTCTAGACTCCTCTTTTAGGATGGATGAATTATTTGTTGGAGGTATCCTATTGCTCTCTGTTGACCACAGAAACCTAGACAGAAACCTAGACAGCTATTTTAGGTTAGATTAAACAATGAGATTAAATTGTCCTTTGAAAAGGTAAAATTAGGAGAGATGAATGCCACTCCTACACTCTTAAAAACAAATCCAGCTCTGAGTGTCTTAGTTGCTTCTGAAAATGGAACTTCATTACTTTTGAAATTGCTGTTCTCTCTATGCTTCTACAGTGTGAATGATGGAAAAGTATAAGACAGCAGTTATATCTTAATAAAAAGTGCTTAACAAGCAAGAAGTGTTTATACAGTATCCTATTAATCTAAATTAAACTCAGTTAAGTCATTTTGGGTACTTACATGGTATATTCTATCCTTAATGTGTTCATGTCTCTCCCTTCACTATTAGACTGAAGTATGTGGATGTGTCAAGACAAAATGACTTCCATGGGGTTTCATTTTAAAATTGGACATGCAAATTCTATTATTAGGTCAAATCATGATGTCCTTACCAAGTGTCTTCTCAGTGATCACTCAGTCAAGATTTCCATAGACTACTGTAAAGGGTTTGATCTACGGTTACTTTGAGCTTCACATCTAATTTTCCTTGTATGCAAATGTATCTCTTAATATAAAGTTTTATTTGCAGTGCAATTTAGACTGCTTAGGGGTATTTTATTTTTATTTTGTTTTGGTTACGCTCTATCTTTCTGAAGATACAAATATACTGACTTACTGTGCAATTTTTCCCTCTGGCTTTGTAGTAACTGTAATCCACCAACTTTTGTGATCTGTAAAGATGAGATGAAGCAATTTGTGAGTTCAGGTAATTCTTCACCTTGGGAATTGGACAGAGAGATCCTTGTGATATTATAATATCTTTACATAATCTCCTCTTACATGTCTCCCTAGCAGGTCACACACACTGCATGTCCTGAGAAGACATGGATAAGTTCAGTGCAGCTATGATTCTTTTCAAAGATCCCCTTCAAATTTTCTCCTGCTTTAGCTTGTTCCTCAGTAAGGAGTAAGAGAAGAGAGAACGCCGTTGCCTAATTCTTATCCTTAGCTACAGCCTCTAGCTCACTGGAGCTTTGCCCTGGTTACTGCTCTTTTGCAAAGGGAGCAGGAAGGGATGTGGAGGTTATGAGGCTCCTTCTCAGATCTTTCCACTTTTTATATGTGCTCCCTCTACCTGTCTCACAGCACCTGCCTCTTGTTCTTTCATATTGTAATGGAGTTGACACAGTCAAGCTGTAATTAATGTGAGCTTTTCTCTCTCTCCTCCACCCTCTCTCCAGTGACCCTATAGCTGAGAAGTGGAAAAAGGTTTTGTGTGAAAAATGGGGAGTTCAGCTCGATCTCTGCTATGTTTAAATTGCTGGCAGCACATTCAAGAAGAGTTTATCAGAGAGGTATTCTCCTCACTGTTTTTTCTAAAGGTGTCAGCTAAGCATACCCTTTTCTTCACTTCCAAATGCTATGTTTTGTCTCATGCCACCTTACTGCTCACTGCCTTTGTTCCTGGCATGACTGCAATGCAAATATATAATAAAGAAATTCAAGCTATTGACCTGAACACCCAAAGTCCCTGACAATCTTGCCTTGTCCACATCTACATTTTTACATTCCATGTATCTTTTCCTTCTCCCTATCATTCACTTAATATTTTCACTTTAATGCTCTCTTTGTCTCCTTTACCTCTCTGATTACCTCTGTCATGTTTTATTCATTTGCTCTCTTGGTGTTTCTTCAAATCCCTCTTTTAAAATACACTTCTGTGAACAATCCTTCCTGGCTTTTCCTACATAGTTACTAATTCCCAAAGCAGTGATCAAGTATCCCTGACACAGCAAGATGTGATGTGGTGAAAAGCCAACACAGGAGCCACTAGCCTTCCCCTTGCCTCACTTAGTGAGCCCGTGACATGTCCTTCAATGTCACAGTGTGGAGGGAGAATGAGTACTACTACTCTGATGCAGATTAGCCCATTGGCTGTACTTCATTTGTACTATGGAGAAACCCAGGAGAAGAAAGATTAAAGCTCGCACTAAAATTATAAGGGCCTGAATGCTCAACTTCCATCCAACTCCCCTGCAGTCTCACTGGAGACCACACTTGACCCAAGCAGAAACAGAATAGGTAAAACTCATGCAACAAAACAGAGAACCCAGTCTGTGTATGTGATGAAAGATGTCCTTGGGATAACACGTTTTATTTAATGTTTTAAAACTTTGCATACATTTGTGGTTCTGTTTATAAATGTATTTTCTTACTTTCTAAAATTCCATTAAAAATATATATATATTATTTTGGGCCAAATTCCAGAGTCTTGACTTGAAGTCAATGAAAGGTTAACTTGAGTAAAGTTAACTAAAAATTGAGAAGTTGCTTGTCTTTTGGCACAGTGATAGCCCTTTGCCTGGAATTCTGACCTTGTAATGTCTAAGATATACAGCCCTGAAATAGCATCCAAGAGGAGATTTGGTTAGGACACAACTGAAAGCAGATGGCGTATGTAACAGAGATCATTGAAAACTAAAGGCCCTGCTGAGAGCGATATATGACATTCTGAAGAAAATCTGCCTTTGACACACTGTATTATCATTTTAAAAATTTAAGATCTCTTTTATGAATTGGTAAAAACCGCACTCCAGGTCCTGCTGGTCTCTAAGTGAGAACTGCATTTGCATTGCAAAGTGAAGCACGAGCCATGCAGCCAGCTCCCGTCAGTAACATGCCTCACCTTGCCTCCATCACTTTACGTTAAGGCTGCAGCAAGGGGTAATAGCAGTTCCTTTTGCTGTCCCTTCCCAAGCTAGGAGACTGCTGTTTGGAAAAGAGGATCCACTGAGAAAAGACATGTGAGGAGGAAGCAGCAAAAGGATGTGGTGTCCAAGAGGTGTGTTTATGGCTCTATTGCCTGCTAGGAAGGCTTAGAGGAACTGCAGAGCCTGATGGGTGGTCTAGCCAACAGAACACTGTCTGCCATATTTCCTCCACAGGTAGAAGATTTTCACTTTCCCAGCAGTGTAAGTGCTAAATATTACTCACCCTTGACTAGCCCTACAAAGTAAATACAGGAATAAGAAAAGTGTCCTTACCTTCAACAAGCCTAAACAAAGTCACTCACTGTTTTTTCACCTGGAAATGGAAATTTATATAGTCACGCAAAATGGTATTTTAATCTTGATTTGGTAATTACAGCTGAAACCTATGTAAACTAACATATTTAAGTGATGTATGGTATGTGATGATGTTATTTGTACGGTGTATATTATATTTATGGATGCAGTTCTGTAAGCCAAAAAAAGGCAAAGAGCAAAATGTTTGAGTAAAATGTTATTTACTCGCATGTATATATTAAACCACGATATCTGCATGAAGCTAATCAACCCAAGCAGTCTGTTAAAGCCCACATGACAGGCTAGCTCATCTTCGACAGCCTAATTGACACTGTTAATCTCATGAGGAGAGTAACTTTCACAATAACATACAGCACATACGGATGCAAAGAATTTACATATACCAATCTATCCTTCACTGAGATATTTCTGAAATAATGTTTCGCCTGTGTAACAATGTTTTTCATAGTCTTAAATTATATGAGGAACCAGCCATGATGAATACTACTGCCTCCTGAAAGCAGTAGTCATGGGGAAAAGAAGAGATCTTGAACTAACTAAAATTTGTATCATAACGCATGTACCCAAGACAGTTGAGTTAAGGCTGCAGCCTTAAATGTGACATTTCCCAACTTTGGAAGGTCTGGCTTTGCAGCCTTAATACTATTCTTTCCCCTTTGCCAGAAAGGCAAAACTGAGGAGTGAGGGGTAACTGAAGAAGCCTCAACTTAAGATTGGCTTACGTTGCCATGGAGCTGCACCTTGACTTGTTAAGAAAGGGAGAACAGCTTTTTATTTTCAGCAGAAAAGGTCTTTCTGGTGCCCCAGAAGAAGCACCAAATATGAATCCTTTCCCTCTATTGGCTTGAGCAAAATGCCAAGTTTAGTACTGGCTTGAGCAAAATGCCAAGTGTAGGGGGGTTTTGGGGGGGGGAGAGGGGAAGTTTACCTGTTGTTCTAAATCTCTTTTTCCAGCTGCAGTACTTGTCCTGGTAAAAAATTATCCTTGCTTTTGAAGAGGTTGCTTCTGCATCACTAGTGATCACTAGGACTTTCCATGCATGTGGAACAAAAATTCCCAGGGTGGCCCTGCCCACCAGGCTGCCAGCTGGTGCTGTTATTCACCAGGGACTAGGGCCCAGAGACTGCAGCCTCACCAAAAAGATGACTACATCAAGGGTGTTTCCCCTCGTCTCTTCCCATACCCCCAGAAAAAGAAACTCACACAAACCTGTTACTTGTAAGAGAGCTGCTGGAATACTACAGAAGGACTCAAGTTATAAACTTGATCTTCCTAATTTAAAGATTTTACACAATTTATAGAACTTTCAGCAAGTATGGAATGCACAGAAACTTCTCTTCTAAGAGGGCATGCTGCCATTATATTTCACCCTCTCTTCCTCTCTCATACTTAAAATATTTCCATTTCTATTTTGATTTACTCTCTCCTTCTCTTCCCATTTCTTCTGCCACCTCTCAAAAATATGGCACTATCATCCAATCTTTAATGGTGTCTTAGACCACTCAAATAGACTCTACAAAGTTAGGAATATAACCTAACATCACATTCATTTTAATTAGCAGCCACAGAAATATTCTTTTCACACAAGAACTTTGTCTTATCAAAAATAAATGAAGAAATTCTTAATTTCAAACAAAAGTGTGTATATACGGAGTTAGTTTTGATGTTAGCTATCAATATTATTTTTATCAAACATCACATATTTCATTGTTATGTATTAACTCCTGTATTCCTGAGGTGATTTTAAGTTTTGATGATATTATGTATACATACAGTAGAAAGATATATCTCTGTTGATTTCAGTTGGGCCTTTTTTTCCTTTTGCATGCTTACACAACGTACGTGGCAATGGTATTTTTTTCTTCATTACCAAACACCTGTGTTTGCCTTCATTTGGTTGCAAAGATGTTTACTTTTGAAATTACTTTATTAATTGAAAAACTTGTAAATATTAGGAATGTCTCCTCTTACTGCAATTGCCACCACATTTTTATCCACGTTCCCTTTACATTTGTTGCATACCAAGTCTGTTCAACTACTTCAATAAGAGGGAATAAGATCCGATAAAATAGTATTAGTTGTATTCATACACCCCTGGATCTCAAATATTGATAGAAATATTAATAAACTGATCTTCTAACAATGTTTTCACATAGGACTGCTTTACCGTGACAGGGACACTTAGATATAGCAAAGTTAGGGGAGTTGTGTTATGACTCTGAGGCAGTTTTCATCTGACAAGTCCAGTGTGGGTCCTATCGCTGTGACAGAACCAAAATAAAATACAAGACATTTGTTTCCTAACCACATTCTTTAATTTTTTAATCTGTAGACTGTATTTTCCACTCTGATTTTGAGACTCTTTTTTTTCTCTCTCCTTACAAAAAAAAGAGGTGGTCCTGAGGTGAAAGGCATTTCTTTTTTCTTTAGTAGAAGAAGCCCATTTGATATCCTGAATAACGTATAGCCCCCTTTCTGCATGCCCTCACTTCTTTCTGCAAGCTCTGTTTGGAGGGCTTGCCGGATGGGTTCACAGAATTACGTGAGGAAGATAAGAAGGAATAAAAAGAGGAGAAAAAGAGAGAGAGATTGAAAGGGATGTTGTGGAGACAGAGCTACATTAAACCAGACTATGCTTTCTATTTTCAGTAGTCTAAGCGAAGTTCAGCTCTGACTTCGGAACAAGGATTCAAAAGAAAACATGCAGCTAGGATTAGTGTTTGCTAGCACTCTTTGCCATTAAATTCAGTTAACGTGCTGTTTCAAAAGTCAGCTCAGAGAGAACTTTCTGGAATGAAAGTATACGCGTTGTTTCTTCCTCTCTCCTTTTCTTTCCCACAAATAAACACAGACACATTGATAGAGCTCAATAAACTTCACCCCCACTAGAAGAAACAGCGTTACCTTTTGGTCAGCGTAATGAGTCTGTTTTCTCTTAAACATTACTAGGCTGACTAGTAACCTGTTAAAAACTGATCTTCTTCCTAAGGCAGGGAAAGAAAAAAAAAACAAACAGTCTTTATAAATAAATTAAAATTCTAACTAAAAAGCTAATTATAAGGGTATTTGTTTTGTTTGAGGTAAGGCACATCTATTATCATAAAGATAATTAACTCAGTCTGACAGATCTAATAAAAGGACAAGTTTAGCATTGGCTTAGCCAGAAGCCCAAGGCAAGCAATTTTTATAATTACTAGTTATTGTAACTGGGCTCAGAGAAAATGGTCTGTGATATTTAAATAGTAATGTTAATTTGCATTTAGGACCCCCCCCCCTTTTTTCCTTTTCAGGCAAGATCTATTTAACCGGAATGAGTAAAAGAAACTTGAATAAGTTAAAAAATCAGAATTGCTCTCTCCTTACGGAAAAACTTGGTCTCTTTATGTCTAGATAATTGATATCCTCACAAGGTAAGTGCTCTGGTAATCACCAAACAATTAAACAGCTTAACACAGTTTTAACACAAGGAAAACGTTGAATTTTCAGCTTGAAATGAGGTCTGTAGACAGCATTAATTTGGGGCAAGTGTATTTACTAATCGACAGATCTGCTACACATACCTCCGCTGCCCCTGCCCTCAACGTGTTCCTGCTGTTGAGCAGATGAAGAAGGGGCTTGGGGAGGAGGGAGGAAAGCACTTCGACTTCTATAAGGAAGTGGTTCCCATTCACAAAGAGAAAGGGAACAAAATAATGTTCAGGAATATATGCATAAGCAGTAAATTGCTCTTGCTGGCATGGTGGAGTAGCCCTTTAACTAACGCTTACCTCAACATTTCACAGCACATTCTCTGCAAGAAAAACAAATCAACATTTTAAAAGGAGAAAGTTATTTTTTAACTGCTTCTGTAATGACGGTTTTAGAAATAAGTAATAGCTAGAGTCAGAAAATGCATTGGTGATATAGTATGAAAAAGCACTTGGCATTCAAGTATGAATTTTATTATGTACTACCTGCAGATAATGCTAACCCATTGCGTTTTGCTAAGGTAGGGCCAAATCTGGGGAATGCTTTAAGGCCATATATAGGGTTGAGCCCCATATTTTCTAAATGCTGGGGGGGCTGATACTGAGATGCTGTGAATTGCCCTAAATCTTTTGAAGTCAGCTAGAGATCTACAGCACTGCATGAGTGTCTCATGAAAAAGACAGCAAAGGGGGCTTTACTTGCAAGATGGTGGATGGCAGATCTGAGGCACTCATGAATTAAATGGACCAAACCAATGTGTGCCCCAGCCTAAAAGCAATAGTTTTAGCCTAGCTGCACACTCAGGCTGGACTATTAGTGTGCATTTGTCTGCTCATTAACTCACAGGCTTTTTCATGGCAAGATATTTTTAATCTAGTTCCTCAGTTTTGGGAAAGAGTTATCATTTTTCCATTCCATATTATATCAAAGATTTTGTTTTGTCATCAGTTCTGCTAAATTCACTGGTTAGATTTTTTTTTCTTTTTTCCCTTCGTTTTTTTTTTTTTTTAATTGCAGTGGGTGGCATTGGCAATTGACTATTCCTACCGCACGTTATCCATGTAATAGTATGGATGAAGGTATTGCTTGCTAGCCCTTCTGCTGCCTGGTTGTCTGAAACTGAGGACCCTGCCCTAGGTTTTTGTGCTTCACTCTTAATGGGTTTGACGTGTTTTTAAACAGCTTGACCAAGATTTTTTTTAATGGGAGACTAAATTTAGGATTATAAATGCCTATTTGAACTTTGAAATTAGCATATACTCTATCTTATGTTGGCTATTGGCTGCATATTAATAATTCAGGTTTTGTCTTCAATAAAATGCACTTTTTCACTAGATAAGAAAAATGAGATTTTTATCTATTTTGACTGAAGATTCTGAAGATTTTTTAAAAAAAATTAATTTTTCAGCCTTCTCTTGCTGTGAGGATTTATGAATTTATTTATTTATTTCTAAAGGCTCCCCAGCTCATTCAAATCCCAATGTGACTTTGTGTAGCCTTACTGAACTCATCAAGATTACTCACCAGCTGAGTAGCTATACTTTTACTTTGCTGGAGGACAGCTCAAGGGTCTGATTTCTAGAGATGTGAAGGACTGTCTTGTCTGCTGACTGCAAGGAATTGTCCCTTTTCAGAACCATGACCCAAGAAGACCAGCAAAACATTGATCTTCAACTAAAGTGGAAGAGGGAAGGTTCAAGGCTGATTTTCTTAAGTGTAACCTAAGAAGTAACCTTTAAGCTTCTGAATGCTTATGGACATCATGGTTATCTCATCAGTTCTAGAGAAATGTTGCCATCTCTATGAGACAGAAATAAACAAATGAAACTTCTCATCTTGCCAGGTCAGAAGATAGGCTGAACTTTTTCTGAGACCTAATTTGGGCTGGGAAAAAAGTGTTTCTTCTTCTCAGTTGTCATACTCAAAAAAAGTAGCAGCAGGACACCTTGCAGTTCCCACCTACCGAGAGGTTGGAGATTTTTAAACTGTTTTCTCTAGAACCCTAAGATTGAATTCAGAGTACAGAACTGCTGCACTTTTACCAAATTTTCTGGGAGTTCCTCACTGTGATACTCAGTTTTCTGTGTGGAGGAAATCGCTGGTAGCAATTCTACAGCTTTGATTTTTTCTTTAAGTTTCGAAAAATTGTTGGAGCGTTTCTCATCATATTTTATAAATTTAAAGTGGGTCAACTTTTGGCCTAAATAGATTGATGGAGCCCTTTAAATATACTGTAGCTATAGCATGTTATTAATCACAGTGGCAGGCATAAAATACATTGTTTCCTTGCTGAGAATAGCATGTTTTCCTTCACTTATGAATTGATCCCTAAAAGGTTCCCCATAGGAATATGTCTATTTCTTTCTTTCTTTCTTTCTTTCTTTCTTTTTCTTTCTTTCTTTCCTTCCTTCCTTCCTTTCTTCTTTCTTCTTCTTTTTCTTTCTTTCTTTCTTTCTTTCTTTCTTTCCATCTAACGCAAAGTGGCTTTAAACTACAGATGTGCTAATCTGTAGGAGAGTCCAGAACTCATTGATCTGTGGGCAGTGCAGGTATTAATCTACCTGGGTTGAGAGACTAAAAGAATGAACGATTAATTAAATAGCCTTGAGGTTATTTTTCAAACCAGCAATGTAAGCAGTGATGAGCAAACCTCAAAAGCTTTGTATACTGGGTTCAGTTCAGATCAGCTCCCTAAGTTTCATAGACGGATCTGATCACTGGAGGCGCACATAAGAGGGAAAAGTAATTTGAGGTAATATTTTAAGTTAGACCTATCAGTCCAGTGGGAACAAGGAGAATATGTTTAAAAAATGCATTTTAAACTGTGGCCTGAAAGTCAATACACACTCTAAATACATTTAAATGCAGCTATAAGGGAAAGCATGGGTGTTTAGGCAGTTTTCAGAATCTTTATTTAGGGGCAAATGCAGACTTTATTATCATATTTCATGGTTTCCAAAATGACTTAATATTTTGTAAAATTAGTAGTGACAATTTCAACCATTTATACTTCTGTACGTTTCTGACACCTTTTCTTTCTTTTTGCTCCCACCGAATGAAAAGATCTTCCTAAACTGAGGATATGTGTTGTTACTGCCAAATCACTCAAGATCATTTATTCCATGACACCAATAAAATGAAAGGTGGTGAGATGTCTTGAGTACAGGTTTTGTGTATCAGCCCCCATGATGCTATATAAATTGATCCATAAATTGACCCACTGAGTTCCCCTTACACTCTTTTTTTTTGCTTATGGTAAGTTCTGTCAGCACAGTAAACAGCTAGCTGATACAAACTTATTCTACCAGGCTTTCAAGTGACCAAGAGCCATGTAACCATGCTACAGCATGGAGCTGCATTTAATTTGCCTCTAACTGAGGCTTGGCACTGTGTTAACAGTAGCTATGCCTACGTATTCCATTGCTTTTTATGAGCTCAGAGGGCAGGAAAGACCGGATTTTCTTAAGAGTAGGCACAAAAACTTGTCTTTCCCCAGTGCATGATGGAGATAAAAACTCAAATTTGAAGCTCATGGGGGCTGCGTAACATTTTAATGTGGAGCAATGGAGCTCCTTGCTAGGTAGTGCCCCTGGACGTGATGGCACGAGAAATAATATGACATCACTTGCATAAATGGGTGCATGAAACAATTGCAGTGATTTCTATTGGGGTTTTTAAAGAGAGCCTATATGCACTGCTATCATGCAATTTCTGCTGCAGTTTCTAACATTAATAGATCCTTCTTAGATCTAACAGCCAGATGGTCAGCAGTTGTGAACTACTTACTGAACTGCTCTTGAAGCTATGCCAAGATATCTGTATATGCATATTCCTTCTGCAAGCCAGCGCTGTAAGGTCACAGGAAGAGCAAGGTCAGAAGTGATGTCTCATGTTTTTAGGGGTGTTTGCTGCCTTGACTGGCCCTGCACAGTTGCTGAGCTGCAAATAGCAGAGACAGAGACAATAATTTGTAACAAGCCAGTTATTCACTGAATTTTTTAATCTTCTTACATTTGCAAGTTGACTATGAACAGACCCTGATTTTTCTGAATGCATTTGTTACTCAGTTATTTGCTGACACAGGAAACAGAAGCTGCAGAAATGCTAGCCGGGGCTTACCCTTCCTTCTTAAAGGCTGAGTGGAACAGCCCTCAGCTAGGCACCTGCCGAGTGGCCTGGTGAAAGAAAAACAGAGCAGAAGTCCAAAATATGGGAAGCTGAGAGACAGAGATAACCATCATAAGGGGGTTTGCAGCCTCTTGACCCCAGCAAAGTTAGCAGATACATGCCATAGCTTGATCTTTGGCTTTGGACCCTCTGCTGACTAGGTGTTTGCTTTGTTGCCATCTTCCTGGCTGTTTTTTTCCCTAGCTGCCTTAACCCTTGGGCTGCTGGCTTTGCTCCTCTTGCCTCACTTTTTCATCTCTTCTTCCTGACACATCCTTCCAATTCCTAAGATCACTGGTGGTTAAAAAAAAACCCTGAGACAATACCTGCAGCTCCTTTCCAGACTTTTTATGCGTAATCTGAACGTAAGAATACATTCATGGTTTTATTTGTTCAATCACTTTTGTCAGTTATTTTCATCACACACTACAAGTTTTGCCAGCCTTTGCTGTTTTTATCTAGACGTGTGCATATGTAGAGACATGCCCTGAAGCACTAAGAGTCTAAAAAGACAAAAGAAGATGGAAGACAACAGGAACACAACTTCTGTCCTTCCTTCCCTCCTTCCTTTTAGGCATGCCTTTAGTTCATACTGGAATTTCAAGCCTTTATCTAACTCTACTCTTGACTGGAACATACTGGATGTCCTTAGATGATGTTTGGGGCCAGTTTGCTAAATGCATGCAAGGATGCCCCTGCTTCAGCATTATGCATAAGATAGGGCTACTCCGGCAGGCTCTACCTATTAGGGACTTGCCATTGCCACAGTTACAAATTGAAACTCACTTTCAGTTTTTATTTCCCACTCTTTCTTCTTCATAACTGTGAACACGCTCAAACTTTTCCACTCCCCTTTCCCTCTTTTTTATGTTGAAATAGAAATCGTTTTGAGCAGCTCCCTTTTCAGAATATATTCCTGGCCTAGCGTAAAACTAATGAATAGCCCTTTGTGAGAAGAATAGGCAGAAGGAATGTGATTGCAGGCAAATTTGACTAGGAATCGAAACAAACGTTCACAGAGTATTTTGCAGTGTTCAGTTACAATGACTAGCCATTAATTGATGGCACTAAATATCTCTAGTTAAAAGCAACGTCTAACTAACTGAACTGTACGATACATATTGTGGTTTTGCGCTTATTATCTTGCTTCCACATGTGTGCAGTGGGGCTACATGAAAAGTAGCTTTACAGGTGCAATGCAGCAACGGCTCAATAGAGGTGAGAGCTTCTAAAAACTCCTAGCCATCTTCTCCTTCCCCTCTCCACCAAAAACCCTTAAAAAGGAGATATTTGGTTTGGGAAAGCACACAATTGTAGCAAATAATTCAATTCCTGGTTTCACTATTTGACAGTGTGTGGGCTTTTAATTTGTAATTCACTTACTCAAGCCCAGCAATGTGGGTTACAGATCCTTTCTGTCAATGGTTGGGTGGTATCTTCTCTAGATATATAGAAAGAATGCTGTCCAAGGTAAATCGGTTGTATCCTGTTCAGCAAGGAGAAAAAATGCTAGGAGATCTGTTCAATGCATTTCTTGCCATATTCATTTGGACTGAGGGAAACAGTCTTGACTCCGCTTGCAGATAATTTGGAAACAATTTTTCTTCCTGCTCCTTTGACCACAAGATGAGTTGTAAGACTCCTGGACATATGTTGCTATATGATGCTTGATCCTAACTGACACAAAGCTTTTTTCCTTTCCTTTCACCTGACAACGATTCTACCATGATGAAGAAATCTGAAAAAACCCACTGAGGCAAAGGAAATGAGTTCCCATGCTCAGGGGAGCACGTGGTAGTAACTATAGGCTACACTATAGTATAGTTCCTATAGGTAGTAACTATACTGTAATGATCTGTCTTTGCTTCCTTAGTGCTTTTGAAACAGACCTAGGCTCATCCTCATGCCAGCTACTAATGTTCTCTGAAGGCAGAGCTAGTGGAGTGAGACAGGCTGCTCCTATGCCTCAAGTTATCTTATCAGCTTCCACTCCTGATCCCTAGGATGCAAGGGAATTTCTAGCACAAACCTTAAGCACTCCCACAAGCCACCGAGTCAGCTTAAATGCAGGAATTGTTAAGCTTCTTAATTTAGTCATTTTATTTCTTAAGCCTGAATCTCTTTCCAGAATGTAGGAGAGAAAAGTCAAACATTTATTAGAATAGTCACTTATCTGACAGAGTCCAGCTTCTCTGTAAATAACTTTTCTCTTTTCTCATGATGTTTCCCACTCTCCAGTTTCTTCATCTTTGGAAAACTTTCCTGGAATGAGAAACTTTAGGAAAGATAAATAAAATAAGAATGTGGGCAAATGAAGAATGTCTGGCTTTCCCGTAAAATATATATCTTTCATGAACTCAGGCAGGATGATCCTAGGATCAATTTACCTTCCAAAATTTCCATGTCTTCTCCTTGGCTCATGAAGTGCAATGTTAGGCTATTCTATAGCCCTTCAGCTTGCTGGATAAAACACAATGTGTGAAAAACTTGGAGCTATGTCAAGAGCTATGGAATTAGTAAGCCTGATTTCTTTGTCCATTCTATGAATTCTGCAAAAACAGTGTGATGACCTTTGTATCAGATCGTGATCTGAGAGTGGTGTAGGTGTCATCAAACCATGAACATTAAAACATAGTATTTTTAATTAACTACATTTAAAATCCCTCTGTCACCTTCTGGAATCTTTTCCTTGAGTTTACATTCACATACAAAGTACCACAAACTAAGCTTCCAGCACCTCATTCACATATTTTACTGCTTAGGCCCAGTACAACAATTTGTGTTTGCCTTGCTCTTTCACCTTATCTTCCATTGATTCCTTTCTTTCTTATTTGTTACAGTTGTTCTTCATTTAATCCTAACCTGCTTAGATAGACTCTGACCTAGTTTTATGATATGGATTAAAGTAAATCCTATAATGTAAACATGCTTGCTTTTCTATATTCTGGCTCATCATCTGTATTTTTTCTGGGATTGTGGTTCCTGGAGCTGAAATTTGGTTAAGGGAGCCTCTATATCTCTGCGACTTGCTCCTAAGTGATTCAGATCATGCTGTTAGCAGCTTTGCTCACTAGTGTTCTTGGTTACCCATTATTTCATTGCTTCAAAAGAGCACTGATTTTTCAACTTCTAAAGCTAACTTTGTCTTTAATTATTACCTCAGAAACTCCTACTGAGGTAAATAAGGGAGAAAAATGTCCCTGCATATTTTAAATCAGAAACATCTGTTTTATAGACAGTTTCTTGGTTTTGCAATGTCAGCTCACTCTGCATAAATAAGTATTTTGGATGGGCAAGTAGCAATTTCTTCACATTGTTGTGTTAAAAAGTCAGCAGAGATACGTTCTAGTATTGTATCTGTTATTCTGGTCTCTGCCAGTTTAGTAAGATTGCCTGTATGCAAAAGCATTAATAAATAAAAGAAAATATGAACATCAAGGAAAAAAAGAATTGATCCTTCCTTCCTTCTTCCACTCTATGCTGATTCCTCCAAATTAGAGCTGAAGGAAATCGACAGAAAGGCTCCATCTGACTTCAATCAAGAGTTGTGTTAACGTACTACTTGTTTAAAAAAACATAGCCCTACAAAAGGTGTTAGACTATAGGATGTTTGGGATCCAGCCCTCTATTTGTGCTTTTCTTTGTTTAAAGAGCTCATAGCTTACTTTTGCTTAATCAAGTACTACATATGATGTTGGCTACGCAGTGCTATGGCTGATTTTCATGCCCTGTCTTGCCCCAAGATTTGTTCAATGATCCATACATTCCTATGTAGGAATGCACCTGGAATTCATCTCTCATTTTCACACTTGCATAGTTTTTCCTTTTGGATGATAATGACTGTTATAATTGCTATGTGACATACAGTCTGGGAGGTCTATCCCAATGTGAAAGCTTGCATACATTGCATTTTCAGGTATGAGTTTCTATTTCTGTTACCCAAGGACAGTAATGAGGCATAACTACTATTACTGTAGAATTTAAATAAAACTTGTGGAAACCAGCGAGTAGGTATGTTGTTCTTCATTTAAAATAAATGTGAAAAACTAGCCACAATTTATAGAACTAGCTGGCTGAAACTACAGCAACTTCTGCCCAGAGTACAAAGGTGAACCATGCAGATAAAGAGATTTTTTTGACATCTCTAATTAACAATCCAAAAGGTTGAGGAATTGAGAAGACACACCACCGTATTTGTCTGTATATGCAAAGTAATCAGCGAAACCAAGGACTGTTCACATGTAGCTGGCAGCTATATGGCATCTTGATGCAGGCAATGGCTAAAAGGAAAGAGCCGCTGGATCAAGTCTTGGCTGAAAGTAGAACCAAATAAACTACTTGTGATTGCTTAATTTCTATCGTATCCAGAGAAATAGGACTTTTTACATTCTCTGTATCTAGGATCATATGCAAAAAGACCCAATAGCATCATGCTTCTTCAACTGTTTCTTCTCTAGTGGAAATAATATGCTGCTAAATGTCCCAAATTTGATAGCTACCTGAGTCAATAACAGGAAACTCTATAAATGCTTCATGTACTTCACATATGCATTATGATCAGTCTTCACAAAATTGTTACAAGAGTTCAAGATTGTAGGCCTTTTTTAAAGTCACACCTCTTAGAAACATGACAATCCCAGCTTCTGCTACCAAATTTGATATGTTTCTGACCTTCACAATTTAGAAATGATTCTGGAAAGCAATGATCTAAGGTAGTTTAAAAATCTGAGATGCAGAAACCACAGAAAAGAGAGTACCCAGCAT